CAGGAGTCGAAGAGCCAGAATGGGTGACCGTCTGCTCAAAAGGGGGGGAGGGGAAAGTCTCCCTCCTCTCCCTTTCGGATCTCGCTCAGAATCTCTTTGGCAGGAACTCCTGCCTCGATCATCTTTGCGATTTCTACGCGGGCCGCCCACGCGCCGATGGCCATCAGACCAGAGGTCTTACCCAGCTTTGCGCTGCCGGGTCGAGGCGACAACGCTGCCTCCGACCTCTTCATCTGATGGCCACGTCCTCTCTCCCACCCATCCATTCTCCCCCCGCTGTAAACAACGAGGAGGATGGCTGGTGGGCTTCAAGCCAAAATGGCCACATTTTGGTTGTGCTAGACGAACATTCACGATAGTACCCAAGGGCACAACTGGTGCTTCCACTGGTCGGCGTGCTTAGGGAACTCCGGACGTAGCATTTGTAGCTCTCCGGACTTATAACAAAAAACCAGGCGTCCGGCGTCCGCATGCCAAGGTTGGCGTTGGTGACCCACGTGTCCTTCTCCCGACGCGGAAAGGACCGACACGGCGACCGACACGGCCGTGCCGCGACGTGGCGGCTTGGCGACGCCTGGACAACTCGCCGGTCTTCTGTCGTCGCAGCTGTTGGTTCCTCTGCTTCCACCTGAGCGGATCGAGCGGATCCTCCCGATTCTGCATGAGGTGCGGGAGGCGAAATGAAGGCACCAGGGTACTGGCAGGGATGAGGATGACACCAAAACATGTGGCTCAGGTCCTTTGTCTGCATCTGAGGGCGACATTTCAATGTAGACCCCCTTGCTATCCCTATGGTAGTGTAGGGATGTGTAGGGTATTCCATTGGGGCACCCATTGGATGGTCCCAACGTGTCTTAACTGAACTCCTAGATGTAAAACATCACCCTTCTCCTGATGCACAGGGCACAAACCATTCTTTGTGTGCAAACTCTGCGGGCTTGTTCTTTGGAAACAAGCCATCTCATCTCCCAGCTATGTCCGTTCTCACCATGTGAAGCAGCAGGTGGGACCGGTCCCGCGCCAATTCGGGCGCCCCTGGCGACCCCACTCTTCGATCTGCTGCGTGTAGCGTTCGACCTCGCTACTGACCTGCGGAGGAGGTCAGAAGGCGCTGTTTGGACATCTTCCGAGATCTACCAAAGTGGCGGTCCACTACGAAACCTCCTAACTTGGGTGCCCTGGTGCCATCTAATCAACAACATAATCTTCCACTGGGTCCACTACTCCTTTTTTTTTTTTTTTCGGGTATGTCCCGGCACTGGTCACAACTGTGGAACCTGGACCAAACCCTGCAGTATGGTAGACCAACCCCTCACACAGAAGTACTCAAACATGCATGATGTAAGTCCTTTGGGGACTCTGAGACCACTGTAGTGACTGTGGTGGAGCTTGATTTCTCAAAGTTTGATTTCTGTCCATTCAGGGTGATGTGAGATACTTCACGAAGTAAATGTGTAAGGAACTCCCGCGGTCAAGGTCCACCGTGACTACCACAAAATGGGCAAACAACAACAGTGCTGTCCACCACCAGGGCAGGATGATCTTCGGATGATCTTGAAATCGTGTGTTAACCCTCTTACGCTTCGAAAAGGAATGGCCACACCTGGCCTATCCTGGCCTGAACTAGGCTCACATTGGGGCACTGTGAGGCCCAAAAGAAACGGCCACAAGGCTTTCGCTCCTTGAAAGGATCATAGTTACGTGGATGGCGTGAATTCCTCTTCAGACAGGTGGTGCCATCCACTTCCATGTGATATGTTCCTCGGAGTGTCAAGAGCAGTCTGCCGGTACCGACGGTCGGTACTTCCACCCCACACGGCGTTCTTTGGTCTCTTCCCATGGCTTGGCCATGCTTGGTGCTCTGCTACGGGCGTCGTGCCCACCCAACTCGCCGAATCCTGAACCTTGCCACGCTATAGATGTGTCTGAAAAGGACCCCTAACAACCTCCACAAAGATCCGCCTGTAGCAAAATCACTCTTCTTGGGTCCTGGTACCTGCCTGCCTACATGTCTCTCTCTTTCTCTCTCTCCCTCTCTCTCTCTCTCGCTGCTACCTGTTGGCGGGTCATGCTTTATTGTGCTTCAAAAACAGCTCGCTCCAGGTACTGGTCAGCTTCACCTAGGGGTCCTCTGCATCTTCTGAATATTCATGTGCTTCACTGTGGCTGCTGTTGGCCAATCGAACAAAAGGGCCAGTGGGCACGGTCATGCAATCGCTCTCCAAGGAGGGTCTTCCTCCCATGAGGATCTAAGCTCTAAGAGTTACCCAAGCTTCAAAGATGGAAACCCTTGGGACTGTCCACTGTGCTTTCGGGACTAAACTCTCCAACTCAGCCTGTTTGTAGAGTTCACATCGTTCTTCCTTAGGGTCATGCTCCTTCTTGCATGCTAGTGAATCAAGGTATATTCAAGGTCAATATAAATATGTTGCTGCTGCCAAACATGGATGTCTCAACAACCCCTCCATGTTGGGCCACGGGTAACCTGCTGTGGCTTGGGCTGACATTGATTACGGCTCCTGCATGGCATGCTTCGCATCCAGCTCACCCAACAGGGTCCTCATGTCCTCAGTGAACGCACGTTCACGAACAGGTTTGGATTCATAATTGAGAATGCATTTTATAACTCCATATATTAATCAAAAGTATACTATACTATATACTACACCTGCACTGTTCCTATACTATATGCTATCTAAATAGAATAATACACAATAACATGGAATTGAAATATTTTGGGCCATCTGAATTTATATAGGTGTGTGACCTTCAAGAACCCGCCACTGAAAGAGACTTCCAGGGATCTCTTGAGGCACACAATGGATCAACAAACACCAGATTTAGATCAGATTTAGATTTGTTCAGGTTTGGATTCGTATGCCCTGGTGCACTAGAGTGACTTACTGCAAGCCTACAGTATCTGGAGTCATCTGGACTTCCAACAATTTCACCATAAACACCCATCCAATTACAACTTTCAAACTCTTTCAAGATCTCCAGCTGCTCATGTGGTCAGTGGATTTGCATGGATTTGTCCATAAATCATCCTCCACATGTTTCTACTCACAAGTCCACCATCCGCTGGTCTCACCTTGTTACCAGTCGACCAATTCTCGCGCGACAAGTCTCCACGGCGTCCGGCACCTTCAACGCTAGAGGCTTGCGACTGCCACCGCCAGCCGCAGGCGCCGCCGGCGCCTGCGGCGCAAGCGCCGTGGGCGCCGCTGGCGCGGCGGGCGCTGGCGCGCGGGTCCAGAGTTGCGGGCTGCTGGCCTTGTGGGGGCTGGCTCCTTAGGATAGCCGCGGCAGCATCCAAACCCAAGCCACCCAAGAAATCAAGGGATGTTGATGGCTTCTGTCATCTTATGAGTGACAAAGTGGCATGAAACTTGATGCTTTCAAAGTGTTGACTACTCATTGATACCTAGCATATCCTTGCGTTGGGCCATCATCAAAGGAGCAGTTTCAACTTCTGCCGTGCTTCTCTGACCTTGCCAATCCTCTTCCAGCGCGGGCAGAAAAATCGCATCGCGCAAGGGGATGTCAGGGTGCCGGTAGTAGTAGCTATCTGGCTCTTTCCGGCGAACGCCCCGCTCAGAGTTGGGGATCCTGAGATGAGAGGATTCAAGAGGAGGAATGGGGATGGAAGACCCACAAGAAAACACAAACACCTGGCTTCACGTCCGCAAAAAACAACCAAAGACTAGTTTGGGCAACCTCCCAACAACCCCCCTGTTGGGATTGGAAGGGGGTATGAGCGGGATAGTTCGTGGGATAAAACACATCTTGCAAACCCTGTTGTCAGCTGGAGACTTATGACATCATCTAAATGGATTATATATATATATATATCGGTGATTCTGTGATTCTGGATGGTGCAAGTTGAGGTGGTTGGTGACTGCCATCAGTCGGTTTTCAGCAAGCAGCGAAACTTGTGATGACATCGGAGCCCAAACCTGTGTGCATGACATCAGGGAAAGCGTCCATCGTAAGCTAAACAAAGAACAGTGGTTTCAGACTAGATGTCACAATCCCCAAAGGTTGTTTAAATGGACCCGCCCTATAAAATCATCGTTGGGTGCCAGTGCCATCTATTCCGAAACCACTGTATCATTTCTTGCGGAGGTTGATTGAAGCGAACTGGCCCAAAAAACCATTTGTGCCAGAGGGGAGGGTTGCGAACTGACCTTCACAGAAACAACTCCTCGCTTGTTAAACCGACTGATCCACCGAACAGGGCCCTGCAGGTCTTTCTGCACTCATGTGGGAACCTCGCAGCGACTGGGCCCGGCGACCACGACTTGGCCGAGTGATGCCAGAAAAGAAGCTGTGGAGGCCCCAGGGAGTTTCAATCGGGTAACCCACCCAGCCAGATCCGGCAAAACACTCAAGCGCGCTATTTGAGCCCTTCTCTCTGACACCAGTTCGGTCTCTCGCCGTGTCTCTCGCGCAAAGGCGTTCTGGCGTGCACTGGTGGTAGTGAGGAACTGTTCCTCTCACTCTGTGGCCTGGGCACCGACTTGGAAGAGTGGCGAATGGACCCATCGGCGGGAATGCCCGTTGAAGTTCGATCCCCAAAGGCCTCCAGGTGAAGAATGGAATCTGGACACCTGCCACATGACCCTCGGCCGGCCCAAATATATACATCTTCATGCAACTGTTTCATTTTACCTAAGCACTTTTGCAGTCGAGTGTGGTTGCCAAAGTGGTCAAGGTAGACCAACTTGGATCTAAATCTGAGAGCCCCAAATGAGGAACCCCAATCAGCTCCATGTTGTGCCGGAACTATTTCTTCGACCAAATCGCTACACCACTTTGGTTCCTGAATGAAATGAAAGGAGGGCCACACCAACTTTTCAGTGTGGGATGACCTCTTCCATCCTCTTCCGCACCTCCAAAATCCATCAAAATCCGACCACTTTCTTCGCTCCGCTTTCTTCACCCATCTTCGTTCCACTCCCTTCGTTCCAAGGCGCGCCCTTCCATCACGGCGCCCCTTCACGCGCTTCCGCACCGACTCCGGCGTCGTGGACGCCGTGGACGCCGACCCAATCGACGCCCCGGACGCCGGCGCCGTGCCGCCGTGCGCGGCCGAGCGCGGCGTCGGCCGCTGCGCGGCCGAGCGCTCGGCACGGGCGAAGGCGCGGGCGGACTCTTCGAGACGAAGGATGTACCTGGGAAGTGGAATGTAAGAACAGGCGCTGAAAAAGGCCTGAGGGGTGGAGAAGTTGATATGAGTTGCTTAAGCTGTATTCATCCAAAGTTAGGACGCCCCGTATCGTTTTATAATGTTTGGTAGAATGAGGGCTGTATGTATCGTCTTGCAAGTTTTGCATGGTGGAGTCTTTCCACCAACGTGAACGTCACGGATCATAACAAACAAAGCACAGACACAAGCGCACAGACAACAAAACACAGGAACCCCTATTCCTGATCATTCATGATTTGAGAGCATCCCCTGCAAGCACTGGAAGTGTGATGAGCTCTGTGAAGTGAGGGAGGGCAACAGCATGCAGAGCTGCTCCAGCAAGCGCAACATTGCTGGCTTCTGCCCCTCGTTTGCTGATCTGATCTCTTTCACTAGGGGACACAAGCCTGCCTGCACTTATGCAGACTTGCCCATGGGGCACTGTTTGAGGAGCTTCCCTTTTGCACTCTCTCGTGTATCGTTGGGGTATCGTTCTGGGGTATAGTTTTATGATGTTGGCATTTTGTGTGTTTTATGACATCAAGCCGCTTGCAAGCACACGCGCTGCGCTCACGCTAGGCCAAAGAGAAAACAACCCCTTTCCAAACCATGGCAGGTGGATAAAGGCGCACCTTGTTCCCGAGCCTAGCCTTTGCTCATAGGCTGCCAGCCCATGAGCCCACAGCCAGGACACAGCCCTTCAAACACAAGCAATCACCATCCCCAATTGCCTGCGACACTTGCAAGACCAAACCAGTTCATGAAGTGATGCCCTTCAGACCCTTGAGCACAAATGCTCAGAAGAGTTGCTGTAGCAGGACGGCATACCAGCATGAACTCAAAAAAACTCAAGGAACTAATGCATGTAACAATAGAGGTAATATTTTTTTGATCAAACGCCCTTGTATAATATACAAGTAAATGACGATAATTTTGAAAACGACTCATATATCCATTCAGAGTGTATGTGTTTGGGTGGTGCTTCATAGGGAAGAGTAACACTTTACTTTTTGATATGTCCCTTTTTGGAGTGTATTTTGTTTGGTGGTGGGGAGCCTCTTGCAAAACCAGACACAATTCCAGGTATATAATTCTCTTGATTCTTTCATGAATCTCTCCGCAGCTGAAAGGATCATGTCCTTGTCCGATCTTATCTCAGCTTATCTCCTTTCCTACCGCTTATGTGCATTGAGGCGTCCGCAAAAAAGAAACATGTATATAAGCGACAATATCTTCCCAGCGCACCGGGAAGAAAACAACTTGGAACATGCGACATGCAACCAAGCAGTTTGGCAATGTTTGGTAGTATTTTGTATGGTTTTGTCAAAATGTGGAACTACAACGGTTGAGCGGAAGATACGGCGACCCATCCAAAGTCTTTCCCAGAACCATGCTCAACAAAAAACTGAGACCTCAGTCGAGGTCGATGTAACCTGTTTTCCATCTGTTCTGCCACTTAGTGGGGAAACTACTCCCCCACTCCATACATTTTGCAGGTGATCCACTGACCTGGCTTCGATCCGGCCCAGTCACGGTGGCTTCTCAGGCCCCTTGGGCTCCTCCGGCCCCCGGGGCGTCCGGCTGGGTGCGGACTTGCCCGGTGGTGGCGCAGGGGCGGAACGTGCGGGGGCGGGTGCTGCGCGAAACCTGCGATGAGGCGGAACGTGGCACCATGTGGCAGAGTCCACGATCAACAAACACATCAACATGGAACAACACCATGACATCACTGGACCAAGCATGTCCAACTGATTCTTCTGTTCTTGACATGTTATTCATCAGGCAGGCCAGGCCCATCTTATATATCACCATCTCATGCCAAGCCACGCAGGTCTGGGCTGTCGCCGTTCCGGCTCCGGTCGCCTCTCCACGCCCTCCACGCGAGCACGGGCGACCGGGCTGGGGGGGGCTGTTGGCGGGCGGTTTTCGGCGGGCGCGGTGGGCGTGGACATCCACTTTGGAGTAGGACTTGCCCACCAGCTGGTCATAACCTGAGCAGCAAATTGTGGGCTGAGCCGAGGAAAACTGCTTTATGAATCTTTATGACTTAAGAAGACCACCAATTTTGTCCAGCTCATGGGCTTGGGTCTGTGTTGTCTGTCTGCTAGCCTCGGGACAAGAGTCTGGTTTAGATTTCTCGATTCTCTGCAACAATTGATAGACAAAATCCTGAACGCCACTGAGAGGTGTTGGGCACCCATCTCAGAAATCGCCTGATGTCGCATTCAGAAGCCCAGTTCAAGTTCGCACCGAGAGGCATACTTGGCATAAGTCATGTTGACACAAACTGCAGTGAAACCGCCCCAAATCCAATTGTCGACTGCTTCCACGGCAGCCAGGACGGTCACAATGCCACTCGAAATAAGCAGCCTCAGCGCAGAAATCCACCACAATCCTGGTTTTGGAGTAGGTTCAATGCTTTGAAGGCTAAGATTCCTCCTCTTCACACTGACAAAACTTCAAAAACCAAGTGGATTCAACCAATAGATCCCTCCTCCGCCTCTTCTTGGCACCCCAAATATCATCCCAAAATCCTCCCAGCTGCGTTGGCGGCCGCTGGCAGCGGATGCGCGATGCTGCCCAGACTATCGAGGCGATGGCCCTTGGGACAGCTCCCTGCCATGCGGCTGCCCAAATCATCATGGCTCCTTGGGCACATGCCGCACACGATTTTTTCAGAGTACCCGCAGGGTGCCTTTTTTGGCGCATGCATCCACAGCGCGGAGAGGGAGAAGAAGAGGTGGAGGCGCTCCCAGCTTTCCGGCATTTGTTGGGGTGCGTCCGGTCTAATGCCCCCGTCAAATGTCCTACCCTACACCGGTCGCTTTCCACATGCTGAAGAGTAGGTTGGACCTTCTGTCTCGTCTTCCCTTCACCAGGTCGCTCCGGATCTCTCTCGGGTGGTTTAGAACCACCGACCCAGGCCCGAAGAACAGGGCCTACCATCTGCCCCAATCTGCCCATTCCCCTTCGTCCGATCGCCGAGCCACCGATAGTAGATTGCCTGGAGGTCTCCCAAGTCCTCGTGGTCGAACCAGGGATCTGGTGTGGGTAAACTGGGCTCGCTGTTCGCACGCCGCACGCGGGCAGCGGCCTGTGCCCGGCGAGCGGGTGAGCGGGGAAGATACAAAAATAGGGGAAGGGGGAGGAAGCTGCTCTATGGAAATGCCAGTGGCCAAAAATGTGTGTGAATGTCAAGAAGCACGATTGCAGCTGCGGAGGTTTGGGAGAGCAAGTGCAATTTGCCGTACCTTGATTTCATACGAGCATGTTTACCAATGATGTGATCGGTTCATTCCAAGCATTTTCAACGTGTTGCCTTTTTCACCCTCGGTTGGCTGAAAAACATGTTGAACAACGTGTGTTTTCTAGCTGGGACTGAGAGAATAGTGGGCGGCCGAGCCGATTCTTGTCACTATTCACTATTCCAAGCTGGAAGCACCACTGACTTGAAAGAACACGACCCCATGTGGGCCACGTTAGATTGGACGGAGAACCAATAGTCCAGTGAATTGGCTGAGGGGTCTACCAGCTAAGTTGAGATGGAGATTGACCAGCTTTTAACAATTTGTATATGTTCCTATGCTAGTTTGCACATGGAACTGATCACAAGATATAAGGGTCATGGTCAATCAACAAATCCCCAAAGCCGCCTTTTCGACCCGCTTTCCATGGCAGCCCAGGTTTTCTCAGTGCGGCTGCCGGCCCTTTACTTGGCCACTGCTGGTCTGGGAAGATGTGGAAGATGGACATTGACATCTTTCACATCACGCGAGTTTTTCCACTATATGCATAATATATATATATATTGTAATTGTATCCCAGTGATGTGTGTGCGTACGCTCCCTCGCTACTTCTTTATATTAATTAAACATCACGTTGGTTCAAACATGTTCACACACTGTGGCACTGCATGCGTTTCTGGAAGAGAACCTCTGGCTTTTCCTTTGGATCCATCCGATCCGAGATCCCGGATCTCACCTCCAGTACACTTCTCCAAGTCTTCCGGTGCCTTCTTCATGGTGCTCTTCATGGGTACTGGTTGCTTCTCCAGCTCGGCGATCTGCTCGCGCAACACGCGGTTTTCGCCCTCCAGGCCCAAACACGCCTGGCGCTATGCATGGCGAAGCGCCAAGCGCTACGGCTGGGCACCATGCACTGTCTTCGAACGGCCACATCTTGTACCCTTGTAGGCACGTGGGTAGGCGGCTATAGGCGATAGACCTTTTTATAATATATAATAAGTGACGGTGCAGCCCAAGACTTCCAGGTCTATCCAGGTCTCACCTAAGAAGATCCTCGTGATGATACAATCTACCAGTTACAGTAAAAGTGATTTCCACATCGAGTGACAACCCTAACCTCCCCCCTGCTCCTGACACTGCGACCCACAAAACCCGCCAAGTTGAGGCAAACAAATATCCCCACACCAGTACTGATCACGTTCATCTCGCCACGTTCTATGGGCTCTATACTCCACATCCCAACTTCTCGACCTCGCTGGGTCGATGCGGTCGCTTGCTTTCGCCGCCGGAAAATCCAACGACATCGGATCACATCGCAGGCGACTCTCGTCGACGGCTCGGTCGTCCTCGACGCAAAAAGCATCGGGTGCCTTGCGAAGCTCCGAGACCTTTTGCTTCAACTCCTCGACCGGGTCCGGGGAGGCCGGTCGGCTGGTGTGACCCTGGACCCTAGCTGGAGAAAACCATCCATGTCCCGTTCTCTGGAGCGCCGGAACATCCATCCCAGCTCGGCTTGCTTTCCGGCCACCGGGCCAACCGCAGTGTCGAGCGGTAGAATGGCATGTTATCCCACTCGCAGTCGTGGCCACCCTCTCGCAGTACGTCACATCCCTCACCTGACACTTACCCAAACATGTCATCTTTGCCGAGACTGAGGGCCTCAGGGGTGGTATCAATCACCCGGGGGGAGACGTGTCTGGGGCCCCTTCCAGTTCCCAAACAGGGTGAGTGGGACGTCGACAAAGGTGAGTGGGACATGTGCCGATCAGCGCGTTTCATGGAAGAACACATGAAGGAGGAGAAGGGAAGACCGCCTATACAGTGAAACTGATCATGTTCACTGTAGTAAAACGATGGGCGTCATGTCTAATATGGTTTCCCGTAGATCTTAGATATTCCCTGACGCCAATTCTGGGAAACCCAGGACGTGCCAACAAAGAGTAAACCAATGTCCAAACTTGACCAACCTGACTGAGGAAATCTGGCCCAATGTCATACCCAATTGGCAGAACAAAACAAACTCCTCAACGCTGCCCCCACCCCAAAAAACAAGTAAATATAGAATCTAGAACATATGTCCTAGAGCCGGCCACAAACAGGGGCCAACCCCTCCATGCAGCACCTGACTCCTCAGCAGACTTTGTATGAAGCAAAACCCTGCGTTTTCCCCCCCCCCCCCCCCCCCCCCCCCCCCCCAAACCCCCCGCGAGACGCCCCCCCTCGCGAAATCCCCGCGCCAGACGGTCGGCCCCGTCCTGGACGTTGCCGGAGGCCGCCCCACTCACCGCCGAGCGGAGGTACTCCACTTCAGCCTGCGAAGCGGGTAGAGATGGGGGCCGCACCGGGTGAGATCTGCTCGGGTGCAGAAGAAAGGGCCCTGCCCCAAAGCTGAAACGCTTTGATTCATGAATGGTCAACGAGTTCAGGAAGCAAGTCCTTCATGGAGACATGGTGCCAGCATGGGTCAGCTATGGCTAGCTAGGAATTTCATGGAATTTCTTTGCTTCGGTCCCAAAACTTTGGACTTTTGACAGCCCTCGCGTTCGATCTTGTTCGTGGCACGCTGTAAGTGAAACCCACCGCACTGTGAAGACTCACCCTGGTCTAAGGGATCAAGCACGAAACAAGTCACCTTCGGGGCGGGACCCCCTCACCACAACCAAAACAAACCAATTATCAAAACACCAAACTGTTGCCCCTTGCAACACGGGAAAATCTTGTAATGAAAAGGCGTCAAGCACATGAAAAACACACATCATTGTCCTCTGACACCCCAAACCCTGAAAAGCGCTTGGTCACGGTAAAGACCTTGGCGTTGCAACCACAAAACCGTGGTTGGCGTACCAAAGGGGAACGCGGATCTGAAGACCGTTCCTAACCCCAAACTCCTACAAGTAGCTATAGTTGCACATGCCCCTCATCCCAGTGTCGTCCCCTTTTGCCCCAAATCCGGGATGCCGTGGTCGACTGCTGCTGCCTGGATCTGCTGCTGCTGCTCTGCCGGGTCGACGGTGTCGCAGATCGTGGCCCTCATCTTCACGCGCTTCACGCGGTCGGCGAAGCGCAGAGTGCTCAAGGTCTGCCTCGGCGGTGCTCACGTTTCGACCGTTGGACCGATGGATGGATCAACCTGGGAACCGTTGGACCTGCACTGGGAGGTCTAGGCAATTGGTGTTTTGAATATCCTGAGACACTCCATGGCGCTCCATGGGACTGGTATATACATTGGGGTGGTGCCAGGGGGGGTCAACTGTAGGCATATGCGGCATACATGGAGTGTCTGGGTATAATATAGCCTGCTACACGAGACACGTGGAGATTTGTAGAGCATTCCTAAATTCATGCGAGGCTTTTTTGATCTCAAAGGTGTTCCAACCCGAACGAACCCGTGCTCGCCCTGCAAAACATGGGAGGCATTCAGAAGGCATAAACGTTTGCAAAACGTGCCGAAGGTGTCAAAATATGACCTTTACGGGAGGGTGTCCGCTCAGTTTTGGGGAGGTTGGTCCAGGCTAATTTGAAGTGATTTCGCTGGAGGGTCTTGTGCCAGGAGATAAGCCCCAAAATGCACCTGAGCTTGAACAGGCAGTGCTGTAATGGAATCGCCGCCGCTCTATGTAATGGCTGTTCCCAGATGTAAAATCATAACAAACAACGAAGTTCGATTGAATTCCACACGGCGGGTAGCAGGTAACGACCAACTTAAACATTAAACAGGCCCAAACACTCCATGGGACTGGTATATTTGCCGATCAGGCCAGGGGTGATGCCAGTGGGGTCAATGTATAGGCATATATGGCTCAATGTAGGTGTCTGGGAGGCGAAGAACGAGCCCAACAAGGACCAGGACCTTCGATCTTTTGCTCCCAGGATCGGTTCTCCCCCGTAGGTCACTTAGAGGTCACAAACAGAGACTCCTCCAAGGGTCACGGACGATTTAGGTCCTGATTTCGGTGAGCCGATTTATAGGACTTTCTTTACACTTCTTGGTCCCAAACATAGTCGAACTGGACCTCGGTCGAAGCTCGGCAACTGTTCATCCACTGCCCTTGGGCAAGTTGCATCTGATAAAGGATTGAACCTCACTTCCGGCGCTGCCGCTGCGGTCCGGGACCAGGTCGCCGCTGGGTGTCGACTGTCTGACAAATGAATGTCTGGTCCCGGAGGTTCCCCGCCAGAAGTGGTTCCACTCTAGTAAGTTCATGTTCCAACGGAGCGCTCCATGCGGAGCTCCATACGGAGCTCCAACTCGGATCGCCAAGTCAAACCATGTTTCAAATCGCCTCCGGCGATCCCCGGACCGCCCAAAAACACGCCTGCTGGGCATGTCGGGGGATGAAGAACTCTGTGAATGGTAGAAGTTCTTGGGTGCTGCAGTCCATGAACCGTCAGATGAAAGTCTAAGCAGCCACCCATCTGCCCAACCAACTCATGTGTGTCGAAAGCGGGACTGAAACCCACGCGTTCCCACGGTGCTCAGTGAGTTTTCGTTTTGTGGTGAGATCTCAAAAGTTTTGCCCTCCAAACAAGAATTAGCAAATGACCCCAAGTTCAAGGGTATATCATGCCCTATGGATCCACATACCTTCTCAGAAGGTAATAAGTTCAAGTGTACAACACAATGCAAAACACGTACACGTACGCTCCCTGAAAATCATCAACGTGGATGGCATGGCCCGAAAGAATTGTCTTCGCCGATCTATAGATTAGATGGTGAGCTGTAGGAGGGTTCCAAACTCTGCCAAAAACACACCCAACTCTATCCAACTCTAATTGATATCAATAGGCGTGCAGAGTGAAAACTCGACAAAGCTGGCTAAAGCTGATCAGACTGTGTGGTAAAAGGTCTTCATGCTTCTTCCTGCTCGATTGTGATGGATTGCCCGTGAAGCAGGAAAGCCTGTCCAAGTGACAGCAAATTGTGCAAATCATCAAGGTGTAGCTATTGCCCGCGAGGCTATCTCGCAGCCTCAGTTGTTCCAGAAAAGAATGCCACACATGCGATCTCACGTGTGCCAAACTGCCAAAATGGTTTGCAACGGGATTTGCATCAGGGCCCAGAAAGTAAATGTCAATTCTTCTTAGCTGCCCAAAATTCTGGAGAGTAACTGCGTAGCTTCATTTGATTGTTTGACCCTGCATTTGATGGACTAGAGATCGGATCGTCGTGCTCGGTCAGGAACATGGGAAGGAGCTGTTCTATATAATGTTCTGTCGAGCTCCCATCGCTCACCCGATAGAATTGATATCATAATACCTTTCTCCAATCAGGTCATATTCCCAGTCAAGCAACAACAAATGATGACATAATGATGGGACTTGTATAATTAGCTGGAATTCAGGCCCTGCAACAAGCCAGCCCAAGCTAAACATCCCCCCGATGCCTCCCTCCTGAACATCTCTCAAGGCGTTTGCTTGGATGATGGTGGTTACTAAAAGGCCTTTGTCAAAGAAATCGTGATGATCCTGTGCCGACTGTCACTGGTGCGGCGGGGTATGGGCCATACCCTATCTATCGATCTTCTCCACATCTTGTTTGGTTTCCCAAATGTTCCGTTGGTGTTCCAAACGCTACGTGGGTGTTCCCATCCTCATCAGTCTTCTCCCACTCGCATCATCCTCACGTCCTACGGCTCAGATTCAACCCTTCTCCACGAGTCAAAACAGGTGGAGTCCCTGATGCTCAGCCTGGTGGCAGTTGGGTTAAGGTGGAGTCCCTGTAGGGCACATGTTTCACCAGCTCTTGGCCACGTCGATTGGTGGTCACTGGCTGCGACAAAGTCCTCAATTTGATGCGACGCTGCGCGGTATCTCATGCATGCTTTGCCAGGTGGGTCACCACTAGCTGCAAAGAGGAAGCTTGTAAAGTATAAATATTGATGAATATATATTGAATGACTCCCCGGTTTCCTGTTTGTTATTGGATTCACTAGGCGCAGTCAAAGGTTCATTGGCTGCTTACCTGTTTCCAAACAAATGTGTTTTGATGAAGCGAATTGACTGAGTGTTGATTCTGGGTTTTGCCAGCTGGAGTCCTATCGCTGTAGATTTTTGGATTGACTAGCCTTTTTGCCCGTGGAATCGCAAATGCATGAATAACGCCTCATAGACCTCCTAGGCCTTGTCTAGGCCTCTCCATCTCTGCAATTGATGTTGGACATCCGCCACACCGGCCACGACCAGCGTAAGAACGATCGACCAAGAATTGGCCCATAGTGCGTGTGTTTGCCTGAAACAAGTCCCTTGGCGTTGTCCAATCAATCTGATTCTGGTGCGGCCTGCGAACCACAAGTTCGGCGACCAGCGAGTTCGGCGAAAGCGAGGCTAGCAGGCGACCAGGGGTCTACCACATCACAACTTGTCAGATCGACGTACGGTGCTGATTTGTCTCAGGTGACAATTGATCCATCAGCCAGAATGGCTGCATGGCTGCATCGGATGCAGCGCAAGAATCTGTTGCGTTGCACTTCTTCAGCTGATCTTGGACTGATGTTTAATGGCTTCTGGGTCCAGTGGCCCAAACAGGTCCAGTGGCCCAAACATGATCTGGAAGAAAAGACTTCACAAATTCTTCCACAGCAGCAATTCAGCTCTCTGACCTTCGCACTGGAAGGGATTATAGGGATTGAAACACTTGTGGAGCAACCACTCACGATCAGCTCGTGGCACAACATGAGGTGTTCTCCAGTCGATCGCGCGACCGGGAGCGAGATCGAGACAATGAAATGAGAAACCTTTTTGATGAGTAAACATGCTCAACCAGGTGGTCTTTTTCTATGGTTTGGTTGCTCCTAGCACATCTAAAAGTTAACTATGACGAAACCATATTGATTCGGATGATGGTACAGACCCGAGAGCCCCATGACTGAAGGTGCAATCATCGGACTTCGTGCTGTGCAAGTGATTGACCACGGAGAAAGATCAACACCCCTAAGGATCCAGGACCATCCGAATCGGACGTCCTTTGGCTCCACCATTCTCAACTCAGGGAGTACTTTTGCCAAGACCATGAAGTCATGAAGTGAATCGTCTTCCAGAAAGCTGCGGCTAAAGAAAACACCAACCTGCTCATGAGTCCTGGAGCACCCGAAGATCTATATACACAGCTTTCATGCAATGCCATGGACCTTCATCCCACATGCCATTGGTTCATTCGAAGTCATAAAGCACACAACAGCACAAGAAACTCAGAAGGTGGTTAGGCCCCCCCTGGCACCCACCCCAACCATCTTCTCAGGAGGCAGTTGAAGCCCTAGAATGAATCAATGAATACTTGTGCGAGGGCAACTTTGGGCCACCAGCCCGAGTATGTGGTGAATGGTAAGTAGCTGCGGCTGCATCGTTCCAGTGGAACTATCCACTGGGAGATGAACAACTAAGGCACCTTTAAACGGAACATGCTGGACAGCTAAGGGTGGTTTTTAAGAGGCAAAACGAAACATCCCAATAACACATATTGCTGGAGAGGTCTGCTATCCTTAGGTCGCTTCACTGTTTGAACAGCCTTGAGGAGATCACCCGCCGCTTCACGCGCCGCTGCACTGGTCAAATCAACGAAATGGGCCTGCGGAGGTCGTTGATCTGATGCGGTCATCCGGGTTTGAACAAACTTTGGATTCCTGGAAAAGCCTGAACAAACATATCTAGCAAACATGACATGACAACCTGCCAAGGATGAACAATGTTGAACAACTTCGCCGAAAAGCCTGGAGGCCAAGGATCCTCTACCGATACAGCCAGCACAGCAAAGTAAGCACAGCTGTACCGAACATCGGACCACGCAGCGAAACCCACTTGGACCGAATTGATGCACAGGCTCCCCACGAAAGACCCATTTTTCTGAATACCAAACCAAGAGCGTTGTCCACTTCCATGTTCAGTAAGCTGCCCATTCATGCCTATTCCTTTAGTTTCCCTGGAGACATGAAGGTTAACCAATCAACAACAAGGTTAAAGGTTATCCAAGTTATCCACTGCCAGGGTAGGCATGAGTATAAGCACCCATCATGTTCTCCTCTCCAATGATCTTGCCATGGATCTGAAGGCAACTGCCCAAGATATGCAAGGACTTATTGATGGTCGCCAGCTCCCTCGCGTGCTGTGGAGAGATCTGAGGACCGTGGATCACCTCAACATCAACATGAGAACTCATCACACTGTCGTTGCGCTGCTGTCGGCCACGGTCAGTGCCTTTGGCCAAGTCCTTTGTTGGTTTTCAGTGATCTTTTCTCTTTAGAAAGGGAGTTAGTTCTTAGTTGCATACGTCTTGCCGTTTGTCTCTTAGCACTAATTAAGATCCAAGTGGAAACTCAGACTCTTCATTTAAGACTGCATCTGGCAAATCTCATCTCTCCTCTTGCCATGCTTGGGCTGTTTCTGCCACCTCTTATCGTGGGAAGCAACACAAAGGCCCACACCGGTATGCAACTGTCACCGCGGATGAACACGTCTGGCGCACCAAACTATCGTGCTGGGCCAAGTGTATCTCTTGGATGGCTCTCCACGCTGATAGGCACCTGGTAGGCACCTGGTCTCCATCCAAGGCACCCATCGCTCGTTGCCAGCCAGGTCGACCAGCCGCAGCTTGGACTCGCGGATGCGCTGGTCGGGCAGCTGCTGCCGGAGAGTGAGCGTCAGAATGCCTATAGAGCCAGGCGGCTAGGAGCTGCTTACGGGAAAAGTCCAGGAAAAGGGGATGAGCACTGGCGCTTGCCTGCTAGAAGATATGGTGCCCAGCGTTTGAGCTGTTTGATACTTGGAACTTGGAACCTGAGTGTAGAACTATCAGATCATGGTTTGGAAGTGGAAGTTGTGGCTTTGCAGCTGAATGTGATTGCAATCCATATGATAGCGGAATAAATAATGCGGTATGCATGCAACGCTGTATATAATATTGTCCTTGTGCGATCCGCAAACATCTAAACAAAGTACACCGTGTTCAACTGTTTCCTGGTTGGAGAGAAGTTAAATCAATGTTTGCTGTTTGCGTGCGTTTGCGTGTAGGATAACGCTAATCAATCTGGGTCAGCCCAGCCCATGTCAGAAGCCCGTTTCAGCCCTGTCGCATGCCAACTTCCGTGTGGCGTTTGGGCGGCGTGGGGTTGTCGTTTGGGCTTTGTCCACGGCACAGTGGGCTCTGGAAGATTGCTCGTTGTAGTGGGTGGAGCGAAGTGCCACGTTGCCAAAGCCGGCCATGAGATACTCTAGACATTCCTGCTGTGCTCCGCCAAGGTCAGGTGCTAGGTCAGGTGTTTACAGACTGCAGGCTGCCCCAGCCAGTGCAGCGGGTGGCGAAGTTCAGCGATCCCGATTTCTAACATGTGCCTACTCCCCCCGCAAATTAACAAGCTGAGAATTGACCTGTGGAAGACCATTTTCCTCTACAACCCAATGGTTTTGGGGTTCCATGTTCATCTGCAGTAGAGTAAGCATAAAACATATTTGCACTCAGTTCATCTACCACAAATGCATCCCGGCACACGTCATAGAAACCCTGCTGAGCAGGGGGGGGGGGACATCGGTCGCCCATCGGTCGCCCCAGTCAAAGACCCGACAGCAACGACAGCAACGACAGCAACACGATGTCGTGTGTATGGCATCGGTCGTCCTCCAGGTTTCCGACCCGAACTTCACTGAGATCCTCCACGAACACATTCACATTCTGCCCGGGCTTCTTCTGCGGATCCTCTCCTCAGTGGTAGGGGCAATGGCACACAGATTTAGGGTGGCTTCCCTAATTGAAACGCACTTGAGTACTTGATGTGGTAATTCAGGGTCCAAAAATGTCCAACAGATTGCCCCAAAAAAAAACACGTCCTCTACAGCAGGGCTTGAAACATCATCTCCCTACTACAAGAGCCAGTGCGCGCCCCAACAATGGTTTAAAACCTTTATCATCCCGTCAAGCCTCGCACGATCTTCACTACGCCGCCTGGAAGCCGCGTTCGAACGCGACTCGCGACGACACGAAGTCGCCTGTGTCGCCGCCGAGCGTCTCACCTTTAATGGCTTGGACGGAACATTGGGCGGCTGTAAAAGGTCATAGCACCTCTCCTGGTGAGGACGGGACAGTGGGGCACCTCTGGGATGGGCCCCAGATCACCCCACTTCCGACTCAACTCCGACTCAATCAGCAGTGCCCCATCGATGAAACTCAACTCTTTTCGTCCTTAGATGAAGAACACCAGAACTGGGAGGCATCCACTTGTGTGCAAGTCGTGGGGGTGGTCAACGTCTGAGCAGCACCTGTTTCATCCTGTTTCTCATGGCCTTTGCGCGGCGTCTGAACTCTTCCTTCGAGCCATCGACCTTTCCACCTCTTGGATTTGGGTGGGCTGAGAAGCCCACTCACCTCTGAACCCCTACGCACGCGGGCGAATGCTTTGGGACACCCGGTCTGTTCAGCTCTTGCGCCACCTCTTAGGCTCGTGTGGAACAACACCGGTTGGATGAGGCAAGGTGAGGCAGTGGGGTTTCCAGGTGTTCCAATGTTGGGAAGATTCTGCAAAGCTCAGTTGAGTTGTCAGTGGAGGAAACTTCTAGGCCTGACGTGACTTAGTGACTATACCTGGACCCTCTTCAAGTAACCATAAAAAGGGAATTCAAGTTCCTCCGTCGGGGGGGCTACTTGATGTTACTTGGGAGACTTCAGCTATATCTCCAAACAACTGGATGTCTTTCTTTAAACTAAGGTCCTAACAAACCGGTCTACAGTAGCACTTGAGGTAGGGTTAAACACACCTCCTTCGGACTGGGACTGGGCTCCTGATAGATCTGGACGTAGCTCAAGAAGATCTGCGCCTCCACGACGTATGGGGAAAATGGACTAAGATGGGTTTGTATTTCCCTATAGGGATCCAGTCGTACCGAACCTGAGAAGGTGAGGAAGGAGAGTAGCTGCCATGGTCGGGTCCAGTCGTACCGAACCTGAGGTTCGGTACGAAAACGGATCCCTAGAGATTGAATCAGGAGACACCCATATCTTGGGTCTATCGTATTATCTGTAACAGTGGATGATGATGGTTAGTAAAGGCCTTGTTCAAACATAGTGATAATTATTTACTGACTGTTACAGGTAATAGGACAGACCCAACCCATGTCCTAATGGGTTTGGATCTATTGTCCTCCTTTCAGGGGGGTCGCTGCCTGGGAAGTCTCCCCAGTTGAAAATACACCGCCACCACAGTCACCGCACCACGGTCACCCCTTTGGATGACTTGCTCCACCCGATTGTCACCAGCGGAGGTGGTGGCTACATGAGACAGGACGGGTGGCTTTCCCCAAGACTTGATTCCTTGTTCCAGCCACGTGGTAGATAGTGGATGATAATCGTATATAGTAAACTCTGAGGTAAAAAAAACAAACTCAAGTTGAGGTACAGTAATTACTTTGCCAAACTGTGACTCTTCCGGCAGGAAAAACATCGAATCTATGCACCACTTACATCGACTTACATAAACAGTACAAAGTATATAATATGTCATAATACTTCTATGCTCATGCAGCTATCTCAACTCAACTCAAATGTGGTTCCGCGCGGCACCGTGCGGCCGGCAACGGTGTGTTTGGAGTCTTCCGCCGGTGATGTCTGTCCACCCTGGTGCTCGACGCGCCTCCGGTGCTTGCTGGAACAGGTACTGCATCGTCCGGACGACCACTCCTCGTCAACTTGAGCCGATGCGTGTAGCCTGAAGTGGACATCCCCCAAAGACTGCAAGGTTTGGAATAGTATCTGTACCTCAATTGGGAGGGTTACTGTTTCACTGTTTTGGGGGGGTCAATGCAGGTAAGCATGCAAGTAAGCACTCCATGTCTAGAATATGTTTGGAACAAATTGCTAAATAGGAACCGGGATGCCCTCTTGGAGCCCTCATCAAATCCCTTCGACTTCGATCAGTGGACGTTAGAAGTCCTACTACTACGGGATCCCGATGGTCCATGTCCGTTCCGGTTCCCCCCCGAAAAAAGCCCTTCATAAACAAGTGGATTTACACAGTTTCCCGGGAAATACACATCACACGCCGACACCAAAACCGGTCTCCGCCATCCTCGATGTTCATCCTTTGCAATGAGATCACTGCTGGTGACCTGGCCCTCGAAGGCTGAATCCATCAACGCTGGGCCCAGCATGGTGTAGGTCTTCCCTGTCGGGCCACGTGTCACGCCTTTTCCACCGAAACGCAAAAGTTCGCCCTAAACGACGTTTCGGAGAGGATTCGATCACAAAAGTGCTGAGGGTGAAAGAAGACGGAATCCAGAAGGCCTCTGGAACTGTGTCAGTGACTGGAAGGCACTGCAAATGCTCGTCAGAACCTTGACTAAATGTTGATCTAGTATTATTTGAATGTCAATCATGATCCTTCGGTGCTTACATCACACGAACAGGGAGAAAAAAACAAGGGGGCCATCCTGCTCTACCAACATTGGCTACAGATTCTCGGTGTAACGCGTGCTTGCTACATCTCTGAATTGTGGATCGCACTGCGGCAAGCGACCACTTCCGGTCATGCCATAGGTGAAGATCGTGACGTTGTAGCCATCTAAAGCTTTGTTCACCACTGGCATAGCGATGCCCCACACTTCCTGCAGGACCGTGTGACAGCGTGCTTGACCAAGTGGGGCCGCATCACATCCACCCCTTGCAAAACTGATAGGTTCTTGGATATTAGGCCAGTAGGCCTGACTCCCTCAATTTCCCTGGAACATAGAGGTTATATAACCCTTTCGTTGGATTTGAGTTGGGAAGGCCCATATTTCCAAAAAATGTTTTGCATGTTATCCACCACGTGTGTAGCCTCACGTGGCGTGCTTAGACCGCTGCACACTCTGATAGATACGAAGTGGGACCTGGACCATCCATGACCAAAAAGAAGCTACGCACGGTGGAGGCTATCGCTATTATGTTGGAGGCCATATACTAGTAACAAGAAGCTAGCTACTAGTACTACTATACAGTATTTTTGTAAAATGGAGATCCCGTGTCCAGTCTTCGACTGGTTTGTTCGTCGGAATGACCGAGGTTGGAAGGGCTACGTATGTGATGTGTTCGTCGGACTGTGCCTGATACATATAGCATAAGAATGCATAATAACTATTAATATATATAATGCATTATAATGCCATACTAGTAGCCCCATGCTGGCCCAATGCTTGGTGCCCTGCCGCACAAGCAGTGGGACATACCACCCCTGAGCTGCACAGGTTTACAAGTGGAACACGGAGGCACTGGCCAAACCCAGCAGTCCGTAAACTGTTTCGGTTTTTCCGTGCAGGGGGGCTGATGTCAAAGGCGCATAAAAGGCTGAGCAATGTGTTGGGCATCACAGGCTGAAGGGGAAGCTGCATACAATCTAATTCCAGTACCACATGCCCTCAATTTGAGAATATCGGGCAACACTTTCTTGCTCACCGGAAGGTTCCTGCACCACCTTCAGCACTCCACGTCCAGGATCACACGACCCGCGTCACCCCGTTTGGGTGCAACGTTCCTGCGCAGCGAGTTCACGGCGGGTCCTCTTGTCCAGCTTGGATTCCCAGGACCTTGTCATATTGACATTCCACGGCCTTTAATCTTTTGCCACGGCCTGGTGCCTCCTCAGCGCCCAAGTTTGGAGCTTGGCGGTTGGTGTGCGAACATGGGGAAGTGGAATTTGGATGAATCTTGGAGGCCCCTCCCCCCTTCTAGAAACGACATACACTCCCTCAACCTTCCAGTACTTCTTGCGAACGACTCGAAATCGGAGATGGACCGAGGGTCGACACAAAGGCTGCGAGCTGTATCCAGCTGGGGCCCATATCCCCCAAGACTTGAGTCGTACCAAACCGTTTCATTTCGGTGGGACAACAACACATGGTTGCCAACCCGTTCGGGTGCAGTCATTCCGAACCGGATCTGGCTGGAGCCCTAGGGATATGTGGAAGAACGCAAAACGGTCCATGATGGTCCATGTCAATGACTTGAAACCAGAAACAAACGTGTTCCCCTATGGATCCACATACCTTCTCAGAAGGCAATTGGACCCTCCAAGCCTACATCAATAGTCTCCAATCACCTTCTCAGAAGGTATGTGGATCCATAGGGTGCCACAATGATCCATTACAGCTGGAGAATCTGGCATTTTGACACAAGTCCCGCGTGCAGGAAACAAATCACTGATTTGGGCGGCGCTGAAACCTGTCACAACTTCGAGAATCCGTTTCGGTGGTCAGAACCACTTTCTTGCCATCCGTGCGTGCGCAGTGCCCATAGGACGCTTCAGATGGCAAGGGTGGTCTCGCACGCACGAGGACATTGGCAAAGGAGGGTGCGAAGCTGCCGGCAGGAGAAAGTGAAGCCCTTCGGCTTTTCATCTCATGCTGGAGTAGCCCGCTGAGCGGCCCCCTATTCTCGGACCGCTAGATCGAGCCATACGAGCCACGGCACAAAGACTCAATTGTGTTCTCTGGACGTGCGAGGCCCAGTGCAAACATTCAAGGGGCCTCTTTTGACTGTAGTATGGGAGTCACGGTCATAGGGCTTTCAAGCAAAAACATCTTTAGAGGACTTTGGAATGTGGCACGTCGCTTGTGAACAGTGGATCTGTCCGCACCTCTCGAACCCAACTCACCTTGCCTCGTCAGGACCAACGTGACCGACCGACGAACGGCACCGACTCTTCGCCCGGCCACGACCAGCGCGACCGCTTCGGTCTTGGAAACACAGCCAGGGGGAACAAAAACACCGGTAGTGTAGAACCATGCAGAAAACCAGAAAAAACCGGAGTCATATATGTGCGACGGCATGGATTTGGTTAACTCAAATACACTATCTCTTATGTGGGGGCCCTATCTCGTTTAGACGACTTAAGCAGGAGGTCATGTCACAGTATCTCGTTCAAACTACTTTAGTGACATCAAGCAAAAGTATCTCGTTTATGTGGGGGCCCTATCTCGTTCACACTGATGATAGACAAACAAATAGAGCATGCCATAGACTACTTTAGTAAAGCCTAAATAAAAGTGGTTGCTCATATAGGGGGGGTCACCTCCCCCACAACCTTGTCTTTGTGTTGACAAAGCACAACCCACCAACGGCTGTGCTTTCGGCACCTGCGCTTCATACGAATGGTCAGCCTCGGTCGAAATCGGAATGGTGGGTCGAAATCGGTTGAACCGCTGGTCAGCGTGGCAGCCGGCAGCTCTGCAAACTGCATATGACCTATAGGACCTATAATATAACCCTATGTCGCATCACTTTCTTCTGCTTACGCTGGTATCATTGAGGAAAACACTTTTAAACACTTGGAGTTTACTGGCGTTCGCACCCAACGCACAAGGAAAAAACAACACAACAATATAGAAACATCCCTCTCAAGCCGGCAGGACGGATGGACGGACCACCCATTCCTTTCCAAGAAGACGCCCCAGCCGGGCGAGTCGGGGCCTGCAGTGTCTCTCTCAACTATTAACCAATACCCTATAGACCCTAGGGCTCCTGTCCCACCTCCGTTTCGGTTCGGTGGTTGGGGTGGGTGCCAGGGGGTCTAACCACCGAACCTGAGGATATAGTTGGAGCCCTAGGGAGAAGTCGAAACACCATTTGCATAATATGCCACTACTGAACCAACCAGCTGTTTACTACGGGTTTTACACTCCAAAGCCAGATCAACAATTTTAACATGGTCTTTGACTTCTAGTTAGTATGTATATATATATATAGTAAATTACAATAAGTTATATAGTAATCACATCAAAGCCTGTGGTGATCCAACTTTCCAATGTTCCTCAAAGGCGGTGAATGAGGTCATGTCTGGAAAACCTACTGTAAGTAGCCCATTAAGGACATATTAATAAGTACATATTAAGCATTATTAAGCACAGCCTTCCAATCCTGGCTCGTACACATTCAAGCCCAGGCCAACACCCACAACCCCAGAGGCCCGGCTCAATAACTCCAGAGGCCCGGCCGCTGTCTCCGAAACGCCGCGCCAAGCGGCCCAATCATCCAAGGTACCACCAAAGCGCTTGGCGACCTGGCGAGGTTCTAAGCTTTGACCGGTTGCTTTGGATATGTTTGCGGCAAATGTGGAAAGTCATGGAATGGTGTTCAAGAGCCAACGAGAGTGGAATGGTGTTCAAGAGGTTTGCTTCTGTGGACATCGAACATGTCAAAAGATCCCAAAACGCGTGGCCAACATCACCAACAAGCTGGCCCTTAAATGAATAGCTTACACAAACGCATGTCTAAGTGGCTGTGATCACGTGGCAACTGCCTAAAGCAGTCCATACAACAAAGGAATCCTCTCACGTGCCAAATCTTGCCTCCCAGGAATTTACACGAGACGACTTCTTTCTATGAGACGACTTCCTCACCCAAACACTCCATGCATGCCATAGTTGCCGACATTGGGGTGGTTGGGTCAAGCTGAATGTAGGTCACAGTCCCATGGAGGTCGTGTCTGGGTCAAGTCACCGCTCTGTTTGGGCGGTCTGATCGACCGCCTTCTGCATTTCGGTCCCGAAACAGGCCGCTTTTTGGCCCAAAAGACTCACCGAACAGACCCTTTTGGCTCGAAGATACCGCGCCCAAAAGCCTTGTTGTTTTTATTTACCCCGCCCCAAGGGCCGTCGATTGGGTGCGTTTTGGCAGAGACTGGATAAGACTCCAGCTGCGATGCGTTGGAAACCCAATTCTGCCACCAAAAGGGTTTTGCCGCTTGACCAGCTGATTTGAATGACTAAGTCTCCTGTTGCATGCTGTGCAGCCAAACACGCACGGCACATACCACTGCTGTTGACCATCCGTTCTGCTCCAGACCTCCTCTAGCAGCCGAGTGTTGGTCTCCAGGAGTGTTTGATTCTCCTCCTCTTGCTGATGAAGGCCCAGCCTGCAGCGATGCAGGCTGGGCCAGCGGCCAGGGGTATAACAAAGTCGGGAGTGACATATCGTACAAATGTGTTTTAAGTTGTTAAGGAAGTATGGTCAAGACAAAGATCACATGAAATAGGGACACACCTGAACCATGAAGTTGAAAAACAAAAACTGTTGTCCACCAGTCCTGTGTCGAGGTGGCTTTTTGCATGGTCACCATCTAGTGAGTGGATATTCTGGACCCCGTTCATGGAACTGCCACTCCAAATTCGGTCTGGTGAATTGTACCATGTGCGTCCCAACATCGAGAGGGTGAATCTAAAACAGTCAACTCATCACGACTTCTGATCACTCTGCTGTCTTTCTCCCACTGCTTCTGAACCTTGACGCTTTCTCCCAAGGGGCGACACAAACTCTATTCACCTCAATCCATCTCATTCCCTTTGACATCTTTGACAATCATCTCAAGGGGTTGGTCTTCGACTTTGCTCAGCATCTCCCAGCGTTCCGCCGAGGGACGTCAGCAGCTCGACTTCCTCCTCGGCCGTGGACCTCTGCCTGGCGAGACCGCAAGACATCCAAATCACTTCAAATATCTTGAAATGGTCTCAAGGACTGCGAACAAAGACATGCATTTTCCCTTAGAAGAGAATCCACCCACAAGAGTGACCAAAAAAGTTATCATGCAGCGCTCAAATCTGACTTCTGCGTTATTTTAGGGGGGTTATGTGGGAGGCAGTGACAAAATCACCAGAAAAGCTCTCAGCCTCAGCTCATTCAATCTTTCCCTTCAAAGTCTTTGAAACACACAAACAGAAACACATATGAAGCCTTGGAACCTCCAAGGTGAACATGACCTAAATTCACCCGAACTTTGTGAAAAGCTTCAGATGAAGTGCTAGCTGCTAGCTTTGGCTGCTGGGTCAGTTCCCCGCCCACCGCGGTCCAGTCCCGTCGGTCAGTTCCCTTGACACGCTGGAGACGTCGGCAAGTGATGCTTCACCCCAGCCAGTCAAGTAGAAAAAAAAACATTAATAGCCTATACACATCTCCTTAACGCTACTCCAAGCACATAAAAGCACAAATAGATCCCTTGGGCTCCAAGTACCTTCTAAGAAGGTGTTTCGGGTGGGTTTAGATGGTCCAAATACCTTCTGAGGATATGGATGGAGCCCCAGGATATGTGGACTTCTCCCATCCGGTCATAACGAGTACAAGTTCACGTCACAACTCGTTGTCCACATGTCTTCTTCCAAACAAAAAGCACGGGGTGCTCATCCAGCTGCTGTAGGGTCTCCAGCTGAAGCTTCAAATGCTCTTCCTTGGGTGAACAAACGTGAGCGGCCGCTGGCTACAAATGGGAGATGGCGGAGATGGGTACGTCGGCCTAGGTGACAAGCCGAGGTCGACCTGGGAGAGGTGAGAACGAAGCCGAAAAACGTGTCTCCGGAGTCTGGGCCTATGGGCGGCCAATGGCGCGGCATGTGAACGGGAGCGAGCAGGACGCAATGAGCAGTTGGGGCATTCTGTCTGCACCTGTGATGGCAAGTGCTTGTGCTTGATGCTAACAAAAGTCTATAGCAGTGGTGAGTTTGATGTTGGGTTTTGGTTGATCCACTCCATGGAGGTCGAAAGGCGACCCCTCCGCAGTTGGAATCCTGCAGTGACTAATGCCTTGTTTCATTGCTCGCCTTGCTCGCCGCAGTCACCACTCGGTGACTAAGGTGAAGGCTCCAACGGCTCCAAAGCTGAGCTTGGTGATTCAGCTTCTTTGGGGTCACCCCAGTGTGGCTCCAAATCCCCAAGGGGAGTCACAGCGATCTCATTCCCAGTCTTGGAGCTTGCTTTATGTAGCTTGGTGATTAAACATGCAACAATCATAATACATCATACTGTAAATATACTGTAAGTAGAACTCATTTGAAAGGTATATTGGCCCGATAGACCTTGAAGGAACATGAAGGAACCTTTCTGACTAATGAGGACTGGTCCAAAGGTGACACCTTCTTGATCTTTCTTGCAAACTCACCCCATTCCTCTGTCACAGAACTGGTTTTGAAGGGAAAATGCACATGTATACAGGAAACCCATGGTTTCGAGAGGTGGAAAGCCATGATTTCCTGTAGAGTTTTCCCTATCCAACCAATCCATTGAATTCGGTCACTCCTGGTACAGGAGCTTATCCTTCGTTGCTTGGATCCGTGCCTCGCCACAGAAGAGAAAGGATATGGCAGAGAGGAAAAGCATATATGGGTGTGGATTCTAAAAAGGGAGACCTCGCAGGCAACGACCTTTCGAAAGAAGGGGAAAATAGACCGGTCGGTCACCTACTGGTTGGATGTCCCACAATTAAAATACCATAGTCTAGTATCTTTATATCACACAAAATCACGTATTTAAAAATTAAATAAAAAAACATGAACACCAGGGCTCCGGAACGGGTCGGTACATAGTTAATGATGGACACCTGTTAACCGTTCACACACTCTCTCTCTCTCTCTCGGACTGTTGGACACCCCTCGGGGGGGGCCATGGCGGCTGGATACTGGCCCTCTGCGAGTGTGGTACTCTGTCAACTGGGGGCTTTCCAAAACAAGGATTTGCCCGAAAGTGTGAAAACCGGTGATGTTGCTATAGGAACTGGGTCAGCAACTTTGGTACATGACATCTTTACAAACCAAAGCAGCTGTTTGTAGGGACTTGGTCCTTGGTCGTCTTTCAATATTCACAACGGTGCAAGTCACAACAAGCGACTAAGCTCCAAAGCTCCAAGGCCTCATCTGTTGCACTAAGACCATCTCCTGAGTCGTTGTTCGTTTTGGGTCTCGACTCATGGGTCACGGTCACCGTGTCGCCCGTCTTTTTGGCCGCCAAGCGAGTGGAGCGCGTTGCATGCAGCGGCCGGGTCCAATCCACTGCGCGTCCAGCGACGCTAGTGCTTCTTCGGAGCACCTCAAACACATGCAATTCCGTTAGGACATGCATCTATAGTCGACGTCTTCCAATGGGAAACTCCAGCAGCAACTGCACCACGTCCCAGTGTCCATTCAAATATGCCGATTGCAAAGCTGTCGAGCCATCTTGCGACACATGATCCTGGTCTGCCGAGGCCTGCAGCAACTCTCGCACTACTTCTAAGTGCCCGTAACGACTTGCCAAGTGCAAAGCTGTGTGGCCATCTTGCTCCACCGCATCCTTCTTAACGCCTGCCTGCAACAACTCTCGGACTACATCCAAGTGCCCATGTGGACTTGCCAAGTGCAAAGCTGTGGACCCATCGTCTGCCGCATGATCCTGGTTTGCGCCTGCCTGCAGCAACTCCCGCACTACTTCCAAGTGCCCCTCAGCACTTGCCAAGTGCAATGCTGTATGGCCATCTTGCTTGGCAGCATCCTTGTCAGCTTTTGCCTCCAGCAACTGTTGCACTACTTCAATGTGCCCATGCCGGCTTGCCAACTGCAAAGCAGTGCCACCAGGTTCTAAGCCATCGAGATCTCGTATGTTAGGATTGTGCGGAGCTTGGAGCATTGCTTCCACCTCCTCCGCCCGGCCGCTGGCACACGCTGAAGCCAATGATTGCAGTGTTGCAGCTTCAGGATCTTGAAAGTTCAACATCACCAGGTGCAGATGGCCTCGCGGCGTGACTGGAGCATCATCCCGCAGGTCGATGCTTTCTCTGAAAAGTCGTTGCCGATACCTGGAAATACCGGTTCGAAGAGCCAGGTGCTCTTTCAGTGCCCTGACTGGCTTATCACTTTGGATGATGGGACCCAAATCGTCTTCTTGAAGTTCAGCAGCTAGGGACCCTGACAGCACATGGATTTGCAGCATTGGTCGTCAGTGCTGCCTGGCAGGCAGTGCCCCCCCAAGGCTCTTGAGCCAAGGCGAAGGCCACGGGTGATTTGCTTGGCTGGTACACTCCCACTCACTGACAGTCACTAACATGGACGTGGAAAAAACCCTGCTCGTAGTGAAGATCTTTTCGGGGCCGGTCTCACATGTTTCCCTCTCCGCATACATGTGGTTCTAGTGCGTCACCCTGTGTCGGGTGGGTACAAGACCCAACAAGCACTTGTTAAAAGCCAATATTTGATAATTTTGGGTATCCTGTTCTGAGCTCCGCCCTCATCAACCTGGGATCCCTTCCCTCACATCGTTGCAGCTCCACGCCTTCATCTTCCCCAACTCCAAGCGCAGCTCCTGGCGCCAGTTGCGCCATGGAGGCACTTTTTCCCAATGAACTTCTTTTGGGAGGGGAATAATTCGTGAAGGGGGGCTGGTTGGGTGATTCCTCCCAACATTTTCTCCCCACAAACTGACATCCTTCGAGCCCAAAACGACTTTTCCATCTTTGATTCTTTGAGGGAAAGGGCACCAGGTCTTCCATCTAGGTGAACTCAAACACCGAAGAATCACCACTCACTTGGGTAGGAACCCCAGCCAGCCTGGACACCTTCCAATGAAGCGACTGAAGAATCGATCAAACGGCCTGGTGAGATCCGCTAACGGCCCTACGGCCCCGCGCAGGCGGAAGGACATGCACAGGCGCTCAACACCCCAAGCAACCAAGCCAACCAGCATGGACCAATGGAGGATGTGATCCAAATTGCGTACATAGGTAGTGACTCTAGCGAACTCTCATGAAGCATTGAGATGTTTACAAAATCCATCTGAATCCAACAGCCTGACCTCGTGTGGTGAGCACCTGACCTTGTAATCACTCTGGAGTACGTACCCCGGATAACGGCTTTGGAACGAAATGCTTCAACGTTTCCTGCCATGAGGCACGTTAGAAAGGGATTGGAAACATGGCCCCAAGCTGTAAAGGGACCTCGTCTTCCTGGACATTTTATCGTCTTCAAATGGCTGTTTACACAACATCTTCACCAAAGTCGGCGATTCACCCACCACCCAAAACATTGATCCGACGCCACACGGAAACCACCACAAAATGACCCGCAACACAACCACCCCAACAAAAGACAACCAAAAACCATTAAAAGCCATTTAAAAAAAGAAAAAAACAACCAGGAGTCACAAAGGGGTGGTGTTTAGTCCCTAAGTGAGTGGATAATGGGCACCCTAAACCTCCATGGATAGCACTCCTTTGTGACTGCTGGAAAACAACTTCACTCGACACATCTGATCTTCCCACCCAACTCCGATCCCCGCCCGACTGGCTTTGACTCGCCTCCTCTTGCCGGCGATGTCGCCGTGCTTGGCCCTGTGCCTGGCGCCGTGAATCCGGAGGGTTTGAGAAGCCACCAAGAACGCGTCAAACGGAGCTGGCTCCGGGGGTACTCAAAAATAGCCCAAAGACGCGTAAATACACATCCTCCCTAGGGCTCCTGGCCTACTTCCGTTTCGAAGGTGGGACTGGGGTGGGTGGGTGACAGGGCGGGCTTACGGGCTTAAAACTTCAAAACATTTGGGTGCACCATCAGATTAAATATGGAATATGGACCGACTCCGATTGATCCTGAAAACATCTTCAAGCCACCCGAATCTGGGCAAACATTTCAGTTTCATGGATTGTGTACGGACCTCTGTAGAACTGGCGGTGAGCCTCTGAAAGCTTCCAAGTTACTTACTTCCCGCACATGTCCAAGTGGTACGGCGACCTAAAGTATGGTCTGGTATACCTTTTCCAAGTTGGTGACAAGTTGCCATGGGGCATTATTTGTTGTAAGGGAAGCATGCAACTCCAGTTTCACCGCAAGAGAAAGGTCAACCGGCCATCGAGGACAACCTCTTGCGGGTCGTCCATCGTAGCTTTGAGGTCGCGGTGTGACAAACCAATCATTCAGCTGAACATGGGACTTGAAAAAAAAACTTACTGAAACCGAACTTTCCATTACATTACATCTTAAACTTCGATTGGGAGGAGGTATTTTCAATTGTTCCAACACAGTCAGTAAGTCTGCTCAACGTCTTCCCGACATGTTTCTCGTTCTATTAGGTGGTGAGAAATGGCCTTTTAGGCATCCTATAGTGCTAGTTCATGCTATAATTCTGAAAGTGGCGGGTTACAGCAGGTCTCAGGGTCTGATGAAACGTCTTTGCAGGAGCTTGCTACTATCCGTCTAGTCGGGATACAGCTCTTCCTACATGCCTTCACATCACCGCCCGACCCGACCCCAGAAAAGAACACACACAATAAAACATACAGAATGAAAAAGCGATCCCAAAGAAACCATGGCAACCTCACCTAATCTGCGCAGGTTGCAGTTCAAAGCCTCCGGATCAGTGCTGACCCTTCCACGAGCTTAGCCTAGCGCGAGCCTTGACCAGCTTGGCACTCAAGTCTTGGAGAGACTCCTAGCTGCGGAGGAAACCAATCACTGACACCCACTTCATCAAAAATGGTGACCTCTGTGATGGACCAGTGCTGTTACTTTTCCCTTTGGAATAGGACCACTTTGACGTCACTAGCTTTGGCCACCATCGGTATCTAGCTAGCTGGTCCACCCTGTCTCCTTGGCCAACCAATCGTGTCAGGGTCTAATGAAGAATGGCCTTTCAAAAAGGCCGGCCAGCCCGACCGCAGCCCAACCACAGCACATGTGAGTCACAAGAAATCAGTGCGGTCCTCCAAAGCGGCATCGGCCTAAGCCACAGGGAGTTGTGTTTGCAACATCTATATACCCGTGGATTTCTCCCCGACCCCCCACAGCAGAAACAGAATTGGTGGGGGGGGGAAAGGAATGACTTCCAACGCTCCATAGAACATGCCCTGTGCTACTAGTAGAAATGCCCTTTGTTACTAGGAGAGAGGAGCTACTAGTAGCAGCCCACCGGACCTGCCCCAAGGACCTGCCCCCGGCCTAAGACGATGGACCGAACAAACCTTGGCAGCTCTGCATGCCATGTGAATCTTGCCCAGCCTGCTCCCGAAAGAATGCTGGTTGGCAGCATCGACTTGAAAGCAAATGAGTCAGTGGGATCAATATGGATGTATAACGATATATCTTATAATATGGATCAATTATCCCAAGTTATATACTGAGTAGAGGGTGAACATACCGGAACGGCACACATGCAACCTTTTGAAGGAACCGCGAAGATCCATGTAATGCCCTTTGTTAGCTTCTTGTTCCTAGTAGTAAGGCCAGGAGCTACTGGTAGCGTCCTTCCTCCTAGATGCCCTAAGATCTTCCCCTAGGATTCCCAGCCTTGATTTTAATCGCCTGAATTGACGGCAACTGTCGCTTTGTGCTCTTCATGGCCCTTCACGGTTAGCCGCAAATAGAGCGGCTAATCATACCAAGCATAGTTCTTAAGGATGTTACACTACAAAACCAGGTCGACCATTTTTTCATGCAACCGAAGGTTCAAGCTGGCTCCACCTCCCCGAAAAAACTAGACGACAGGGTGGCCCGAAAGCAAGTAGGCGGAAGAGAACAAATAGAAGGGAAGAAAAGCGAAGTAACAGAAGATGAATGAGCACTAAAGAAATGAAGAGATGATATATGATGATTCAAAACATTAAGATGAAACAAAATGAGATGATGATGAGATGACACAATATAAGTTGGACCCCCCTTAACAGCGCAGAATGTCAAGGAAAAAATGTACGAATTCTAGAGGGTCGAATATATAATATATATATATCTATATATATATACATTATGATTATGATACTATTATCACGTTATTACCAAATCTATTAATGTATATTCTGTTGCACTGTACTTCGGAGCCCAAACGGTAGTCCCGGTCGATTCTTTTTTATCCAGCGCCGGTCGAGCTCAAACGCTAGTCCCGGTAGTAAGAGCCGCCGAAGTGTGCGAAATCGCACGTCCCAACCTGGCATCAGGACAACCAATGCTCATACAAATGCAACACTTGAAAAACAAAACAAATTACCCACAGTTCAACTCATGTTGTTTTGTCGGTTATCAGATATAGTTGCACACCCAGTCGGAACAGGATCGACTTCGAACAACTCTCGGTCGTGGATCTCGTGCCTTGTGGAGTCTCTGCACGTTCAGCTAGAACAAGGGTCGACTTCGGACAACTTCCGGTCGTGGACCCAGGTCCTTCTAATCAGTTTGGTCACGACACTTTGCAATAGCCAATTCACAGCTTTTCGCCGATACTTGTAACTTCGTGGCTGGTGACTATATGTGGCATCGACATGCCGGCCTCCTGGAATTCCATTGCGTGGTGTCCACTTTCATTTGGTCCCACTTGTTGCCGCTCAACCTGTTCAAAAGACTCAATGTCTCTGGAAACGAAACTGGTCTTTCAGGTCAAATCACAACAAGCAAAGAATATCATTCAAGTCCAACAATCGAACAAAAAAAAGATGTCTATAGAGCTCTGTTTGCACAATTTTATCGGTTATCAGGTATATTCGCGCACCCAGTCGGAACAGGATCGACTTCGAACAACTCTCGGTCGTGGATCCCGTTCCTCATGGGGTCTCTGCACATTCAGTCGGAACAAGGGCCGACTTCGAACAACTTCCGGTCGTGGACCCAGGTCCTTCTAGCCAGTTTGGCCACGAATTCACAGCTTTTTGTCGACACTTTGGTCACGACGTTTCAAATTCCCAACGCCAGGCATGCTTGTGATGCTCCAAGGATCGCAGTGCATACAAGACATATGCTCGTCGCTTCCACGGTCTCAGGCTTGGACGCTGCTGGAGCACACAGTCAATGGCATCCTCGACACTGAGATCCCACCAGATCACCAGCCAGGCGCAAAGCGCGGCGGTACTGCGATTGATGCCCCCAAAGCAATGAAACAAAGGCGTAAACCTGATGTCGTGGTTCCAGTAGTAGGAGGCCACATCCCAAAGAACATGCATCAAATCTTTCCAGAAAGCTAAACATTCACCGGCAGACTGACGATGCTTCGCCAGCTCTGTATTTGGGTCTTTGACTGTGGGATCCTCGATGAACCACCAGATATGAGCGACGCCACAACGTTCAAAATAGGTGGGCAAATCTGACGGCGCGCCGCGCACCTGGATCTCGTTCCCACACAGGGTCACGACATGGGAGATCTTTGTCGTGTACTCCACCTCCACCGCTTCAATGTTGACAGCCGCTTTGACACTACCGAGGAAGATGGCATCCCCTCCCAAGGTAATGCAGCTGGCATCCAGTGGCCAGGCAGTGATATCTCCAAAATTGTAGTCATGCTGTACCGCCTGCTGCTTGTCTTCCAAGACAGGACCGAAGCAATCGCCAAGCATGCCGCTGCACCGCGGCGCTGCTGTCCAATGATTCTTCTGGCAGCAAAACGGCGATCATGCGCTCGATCAGCGCCTTCTTAGACAGACAGTCTTCCACACCGACTTCAGCACCCAGCGCCGCCAGCGGGCTTCGGCCGTCCACTGAATCCTTGGCTACCTTGGCCGAGAAAGTGTTCAATTTGCGACGAAGCCACGCCCGTGCATTGGGGCCTTGCTGTACCGCCTCCAGTTTCAGTTGCTCAGCGGTTACCTTATCGCTGACATGTCAGAACATCACACTCACCACCGTCCTGAAAACTAACAACAACAAAAGCAAAATTCCAACATACCAATCAGAACGAAAAGACAAACAAACGCTTCTTTCCTAAAGCTGTTGTCAAGGCTCAATGGATGGAGAAGTTGCTTTCGTCAGCAGTTCCACCAACTCAGCCTTTGATCTCCGAGAGTCCCCTGCCCGGCAAGAAACACCTGCAGGTACACATAGCGTCCGCAATTCATTCGCGTCCATTCCTTCCAACTCCTTCTGCAACCACTCCTGGCCTTTCACTTCCACATCATCGCACAGGGATTGCCAGATTTGGTGCGGTGCCTTCGGTGGAGCCTCTTCCTGGGTCGATCGAGTCTCTCAAATATGCAAGTACTTTGAACAGATACTAGTATTATTCGTAACTGTATGCAGGTGCGAGACCATGGTATATGTATATATATATAGCTTTGTGCGAAATTGTGTTTGGATGAAGAGATCTCATCCAAATCCCAAACCTGAATGATCCCATTAGCGCTACATCGCTACATGCCATCGAGTCTCAGGATTCGCAGCCAAGGCTTTCAGCAGCTGACCCACCAGTTCCGCTTTCGATAACATCGTCTTGAAAACAGCAACTCTTGTAGGCAGTTTAGCTACCGAGCTGAGCTTTCGGAGTTCATCCGTGTCCTTCCCTTCCAGTTCGGCTTGCAACCACTCTTTGCCACGAATTGCAGCCTCTGCTCGCAAAGCGTCCAACGAAGTATGGAGATCCTCGATGCAGGTCCGAAATCAACGACGACAACCACCGATGACAACACGAAATTACAATGACAACCCACAACAATCCCCGGCGTTGAAACACCTCCTGGGTATCGAAATTGCAAGATACTGGTCTGCATGAAACCATTCGAACGTCCAAATGTCACAGTGCAACAGCATGCACAGCACTACCGTCGAAGACATACTTAGCAACCAAAGGCTTCGGACAACTCCCGGTCGCGATCGGTTGCTGAGGTCTGTCCTCAATGGTTATGCTGCGCAAGTCTTGGTAGCTGTAGACGATACTTGCAACGAAAGTATTATAATGCAAAACGATACATAGGGAACACATGTCACGTACAAACAATCACATCCTGTCATGTTGTTTCACAAACTGGCAGCCAGGGGTCCAAAGATGGAGATATTGCTTGTAGCAACTGATGCACCAGCTCTGCCTTGCTCAATTTACGCAGAGAGTCAGCAGCTCGATGAGACAGACCAAAGTGCGTACTGAGCTTCCGAAGTTCGTTAATGTCCTTTCCCTGCAGCTGTGACTGCAACCACTCCTGTCCCTTGACAGCAGCTTCGGCCTGCAGAACTTGGAGGAGCTGCTCAATGTCACTCACTGCAGGCTGCGATGGTTCCTGAGTATGGGGCCCACTCTAAAATGAGCAAAGCGATTCGAAAAGTTACAGAACCGGATGAGCACATGCACTCCCTAACCTCATATCATGTCATACTATTGATGAATGTGTACAAACAAAAGTGTACAGCAGTGAAAAGATACACTACTATAGGCCTCGGACAAACAAATTGAAACGACAACGCATAAAGAATACTTGTTACATACGAATCATCACATCGTGTCCTGTCATGTTGTCTCTAAAACTGACAGCCAGGGGTCCAAGGATGGAGACATTGCTGGTAACAACTGATCCACCAGCTCTGCCTTCGTCAACATGCTTGTAGAATTCGCACGTCGACGGGAAAGACCCAACGATGTACAAAGCTGACGAAGTTCGCTGGTGCTCTTTCCCTCGAGCTGTGACTGCAGCCATTCCCGTCCCTTGACAGCAGATTCCGTCTGCAGAACTTGGATGAGCTGCTCAATGTCACTCACTGCAGGTTGCGACGATTCCTGAGTATGGGGCTCCATCTAAAATGAGCAAAGCCAGTCGAAACGTTGCAGAACCGGATGAACACATGCATTCCCGAACCTCCTGTTGTCATACTGTCGAAGAACCTGAAACGTACAACGTTCTCACAAAAAATATGCCCATCCAACATTTATATCTCATGTGTACTGACAACATTTACGTGTCGCGTGCACAGACAAAAGTGCATATCAATAAAAACAAATATTTCTATAGAATACTTGTCACATACGAATCATCACATT